GTGCCGAGTCGGGCTCCTCCTCCCCAGCACGCACTGGTTGCCGTGCGGGACAAGCCGGGGGAGGCCGCGGGCCTGGGGGATGCGGCTGCCGTGCGGGCGTCTCCAGCAGCAGGGTGCACCCTGTGACGGCCCCAATGGGGCCCCGTGGGGCGCTGAGCTGCATCACGGCTGAGTCAGCTGTGATTGACTCGAGATGAACAGGACATGGGGTCTTCTGTTGACGGGCGAGCACTGGCCGCCCGGCGCCCCGGGTCCAGCTGCTGTTGGCCAAGGCCCCGGGACCACCGCCCCGACTGGACCGTGCCGCAGGAGCAGCGGGTGCGGGTCTCCAGAAGACCTGTCTACGCGGTGGACGAGGCTGCTGGCCCTGGTCGGGCTCCCAGCTGGAGGCGACGTCTGTCGGAGGGAGGGGCACCCGGTGGGACCCCACAGACCTGGGCTGGATCTGGCCACTGAGCGCCACCCTCAGGGACATCTTGCTTGGAGAGAGGCCGACGCAGCTCTCGGCGTCTCGCTCACGGGGAGGCCCCTGGGCGCTCCGGGCTGGCCGCGGCCCGTAACTGCTGAAGGGTGCCCGGCCGGGGCTGTGCTGCTGCTGCCTGCGGTGCCGCGGGCTGCTGTCCTGTCCTCGATGTGTCACTGCCCGTCCACATCGTTCAGCAGCAAGCCGCAGTGGCCTTCCAAGCCTCTGGCCAGCCGCTGCACAGCGAGGCGTCCAGGGGCAGCTGGGTGGCGAGGGCTGGGTTTCCAGGGCCCCGTGGAGGGCCTGCAGGCCGAGGCCAGCAGCCGGGCGGGAGACCTGGGGAGGCGCGGTGACGGAACCCGTGATCAGCATGGCCTTCCCACCAGACCAAGGTCACCACGTTGACCTTGCAGACCAAAGCCGACCTCGGGTGCTGGAAAAGCTGCTTTGCACACACAGTGGGGCGGGAGGCTGAGCCTGCGCCCACAGGAAGGACATGGTGCCCTCCTCGCTCTCCAGGGGCCACCCCGCCCCCGGTCCTTGCTAGAAAGTCACAGTTGTCTTCTGGGCTCCAGGGAGCACCTGTTACCACCGAGAGTTAAAAAAAAAAAAAA